AATATTATTTTTATATCAAAGAACTAAATAATATTTTTAAATATATATAGATTCATAAAATAACTATAATAATAAAATTTTGATTTATATTTTTGAAGATAATTATGGTTTATAAAATAAAAATTTGAATTTGTGGCTTTCTTTCTATTTATTTTGACTATTCTTTGCTAATTTTCAGGACAAAATCGGAATAATTTCGTCTTGACTTTTGACTTGAAAAAAAATATGTGCTTGCCAACGTAGAGATTTGTTGATCTCGTAATATGTTAGTCCAGTAATAGTCTAATGTATTTGGTTATTTGGATATATCTGGACCAGAGTGACAAAATATCCTTTAAACAAATTAAACCTGTTTGGAACCTTTGAATTACAGTAATTACATATTAAATTATATTTACGAATATTAAATGTTCGAAAGATCTTGAAAGTTTTATGAAGATTACTGAAACTTAATATGTGGATAAATGAAATGTTTTGAAATTTAAACTGACATTATCTACTAATTTAAGAAGATAAACCGTTGAATTTTCTTTTGTACAGTATATAAAATATAAAAGATCAAATATATTTTTTACAAATATAATTTACTATTTACAATCTTTTAATAAAAATTTATAGAATGATTAGGGAATTTATAGAATAAAGTCGAGCCCTAAAGAGTTATTAAGTTCTGTTTATAAATAAAGATTCCTTAATATATAACAAATGTCCTAAGTATATACAGTATGTTATATATACTATAGCATGGATACTATGATATAGTATATAGATCTGTTTTTTAACAACAAAATTAACTATAAATTACACAAAATGCTTTATTTTGTTGTTATACCTAACGAGTACTGATGACTTAAACATTTCATTTACAATATTTAACTTATTTTTCATATAAATCTGTCGTGACGTTCGTTCTACCTGAATCATTTTTCACATCACGATTTTGCAAAGATTATGTTTATTATTTTATTACTCATAAATATTTTTATTCAAGGCAGATCTACTTAGCTTTTTTTTCTTTATAGCATTTTCATATATTTAGATTTATCTGTTTCAAGACTCACAAACCATTAATTTTCATATGCAAAGTGACATTTATAATTAATCGATCATACTTTAGATTTTCTCGCATCATTTCCCAGTTAATCATCTTCAATTTTATTAATGTAAAAAATAATTAGGAGGAAGTATAATTTTCTCTCTAATTGCTCATAAGTTGTTCGGAAGCAGTTGAAACACTTTTAATGTTGATTGTCTTGCGCTCTTAACTGACTTGATAGCGACATTTTGTCGTAAAAATCGCCATCATCAACAATTTCCTAACCACTTAAGTTCACGCGTAAAAGTCATCGGATAGATTAGGGAATTATATTTAGATACCGACACGAAATAAATTGTTTTAAGTGTTAATTACTATATTGTAAGTTTATGTTTGACATTACAAACCTGTTAGAGATAATTTTTACGATCGTAATAAGGATGAAAGGAATATTCAGATAGACATTCAATATTTTATGGCTTTCACTTTTTTTTTTCTAAGTTAATTTTTAAAGATAGTTCATATTACTATCTGTTTTTATTTCACATAAAAATTATAGTTTTGAACAAAGTTTAAGAGTAAACTCTCCTCGTTCTTGCCAATTAAAATTAATTTTTTCATAGAGAAATGAGTGATCAGTAAACAGAAGAATTAAATAGATAGCATATATAAAAAGAAGGGGAAATAATTTGAATGAACTGATATATAAATGGAAGCAACAGGAAAGCGTAGAATAGAAAGATCAAGAAAAAGATTCCAGGAAACTCGAACGAAAATAAATCTCTGATTGTATCGGATGAAAACATCTAATACATGGAAGGGGGGAAATGAAATATAAATTAAATCGGAGATAATTTTTTAATTGAGGCTTGAACTTATTTTAAAATTATTTTATGTTTAGGCGATTATACAGAGTGTAGACATACCAGGCTATATCTCACTTTTGCCATGTGATAACGAAAAGCAATTGCAGTGGAAATATAAGTGCAGTAATAGATAGTGGGTTACTCATTGGGTCTTATGAAAGATAAAGATATAGTTTAAATTATAGTTAAAATATGCCTTTATCTTCTACAGGACTCGAGGTAGGATTTATCCCTATGCGGAGGAGAGGATGGAGATGCATGGCGACCAATAACCCACTATGTTACCTATAGTTATTTCCAATGAACAACTTTTATTAAGTTCCGAAAGTAATATTTGATTTAATGAGTTTACTAGTTTTTAAAAGGAATAATCCAACTTGTAGTAATAAATTTTAATATTTTGCTGTAATGTAGGATTTGCTGATAATAAAACAAATAAGTATGAAGGTAAAATACTGTACATAAATGCCGAACAGCAAGTTTTAATCATATTTTAATTTAAAAAATCATGTAACTTCCGGTCTAAACCGGAAATTGTATATAGTTAATCAGTCAAATAATTCTGAAAATAATATGGCTTATTTATACTTTTTGAATGCACTGCGTATATAATAGAGGGAATGTTTACAAATTTTTACATTTTTTTTTTGTCTTAGGAGATCTTAAAACGTCGAGAAATGCAAAAAAAGCTGGGATATTTTCTGTATGTGCGGATGTTAGAATGTGTGTGTTTGTGGAGGGGTACAATTTTGTTTACCCACTTTGAAGCTTGATAACTCTTGTGCCTTTTGTTGAAAATTTCTAAAATTTTTCAGGGAGATTTGTATTTGGGCGATTGATGCTATTAAATTTTGATGGTTAAAGATTGAGAGGCGGGTTATGTAGAGTTGTCAGATGTCCCGGTTTTCCTGGATTGTTCCAGATTTTTTCCTACTGTCATCTAGCGACAGGAGTCTTTGTTTTAAAAACTGTTCCTACAATAAAGTATTTTCCCCCTCATTTTAAATGTATTTCTGTCACCGGCAGAGTAAAAATACACATCCTGCATGTTCTGAAATTGAAAAAACGTCCCAGAATCTTTCAAGAATAACTCATTTTGTTCCAGATTTTATCCCCATGTACAGTACCTGGCGACCCTCATGTCTCGATTGCGGTCAAACTTCTATGACTTTACTCGTTATTATCATTTACAATTTTTTAAAACTTATCTCTACCTTCATAACTAAACTTTGCCATTTTNGAGTAATTATCAATTGAGGGGTTCGGTGGAAAAGTGGTGTAAGTGACAATAGTTTAACTTGAATATGTTAAGTTATAAAATCTATCATTGATTAAAAAAATATATAGATATATTTACTGTCACATTTATTGTCATTTTATTTTTAAGTTAAATACTTTTTTGTATTTTTAATAAAGAAAAGTATTTTGTCACTTATACAACATTCCTCTCATCTCTTCAATTAATATTGATATTTTGTTGCTTAATAAATTAGTTTAAGAAGCACACATAAGTAAATAAACAAATAAATAAATATATGAAATATTATAATGGATAGAATTGTCTGTGTCAGTGCTCTGTGATCGTAGGTGCACTCGACAGAGACATCATATACTTGTCGCTTCACAAAAATTGAGGTGGCCACTGTGACACGCGACCCTCCAAATTTACACGTGCACAGATTCTGTGAAATATAAATGTCACTCACAGTTTAAAGACGAGTTTGTGAGTAAACGAGTGCACGTATTTCGTAAAATATCGCTTCAAAGGTGTAAAAGAATTTCTTCTGTCGGTAGCAGTAAACACGTAATAGGCAAATCATTGTCCTTTTGAGTCAATATGTATTTATAATATTTACGTGTCCACCGTAAGTTCTATGCTTTTCCTTCTCTTGAAGGCATTGTGCCGCGGCACACTGGTTGCGAAGCTCTGTAAATATATATGATGTAAATATATAATAAATCCAAATTCGTATTTACTATTAAAGGAAAAATCAACATTGGTTACAAATTTAATGCTATTTTGTAGATTTTATTAATGTTTTGGTCTAAAAATTTTGTAGTGTATTAAAGAATTGGCATATACACTATTAAATAATTCAATATTAATATTAAATTATATTACAACAAAATTTTATCTATGATATGATCATACATCAGAATATCATAATAATTTAATAGGAGCAGTTCAAGTAATCATTAACAGAATTTATTTAAATAAACTTTAGGTAAAATATTAATAGATCATTACCTTATAACCATTGATATTTTATTGATTATATAACATAAGTGTCAATTAAATTTAATGGGAAATTAAATAGATTTTTTCTCAATTTTAAATATCCGTTATTTAATGGAGAATTGTCACATTTTATACAATTAATTCCCCATATAATACTTAATTAATTTGTATCATTAATTATAAATTATATAAAATGTTTTAAGTGATTTTTAGTTTCTCACTTTAAATGTTTTACTTAATGGTTAATAAAATTTTTAGGGATAAATGTGTTTAATATAGGGATGAAATTACATCAGATATATTAAATTTTTAAGGTTAAAACTGTAAATAATACAGCGACTGATAGTCATTTTATTAATAACGTATTAATAAGCTACGTACTAAAATCAGAAAGTGTATATTATACAATGAACACTAAACATAAACTTAATAAGTAAGTAAACATTTTTATATTATCTGCTTTTATTTCTTGCAAATATTTTGATAATGAGACCTTTTTTTTAAAATAAATGTTAATCAAGCTATTAATATTTTTAAAACTACAAAAATTTGTTGAGAAGTAGTGAAAAAGGTCATTTCATATAATGAAACTTTAATACTCAATACAATTTTGAATTTAAATATTTTAAATGAATTAATTTATAATTTTACATGTAATAAACCTAATTAGAAAAACTTTTTATAGGAGAATTTACTATAAAAAGATAATTTAGTTTGACATTTCTTCGTTTTTATTAAAGATAAATGGGATGAATAGAAGATAAGAGGTGTAGAAAATAGTTAACCTTTATGCAATATTCATTTTTATGTCTTTTTAAATATCAATATATTATTAAAAATAAATAAAAACAAACATGAATATTCTATAGTATACGGTTTATTGAATTAAAGTCACTTATTATTACATAATTTGAATTTTATTTTCGCCAAATTTGAGAAATTAATATACAACTTATCAGTTGAGTAACATTGTTGTTGCATGTGTCAGCTGGTTGAGAACTTAATGATGGCCATGTTCATGTTCGACGTGTTGGATCCTGATATCAGTGAAGGACATATTAGGAGTGGCAAATTGACTTGGAGTACGTGCTTTAATAACTCTGTCGAAGGGGAAGCCCATAGCTTTCTTGTCTGGATACTTGGAATCTTTAGCACCACAGTAGCTTACGGCATCTGAGCAAATGGCGTGGTCATTTAGACCTCCAACCTGTATAAAATATCAAAAACGTGCATTATATTAATTGAAACATTCGGTACATTTGCTTTAAATAATGTCACTAAATATTTGAAAGAAAATTACTTACATTGTCTTTTTCGTAATCGGTAAGCATAACGAAGAGTTGGAACACCATACCACGTTCGTTACCACGAGGCAATAACATATGGGAAGGCCAACCGCAGCTGCAGAATTCGGTGTTGTCCTCACTCACTCCTTTACCTTGGATCAATTCGTCGAATGTTGGTACGTGAGTGATAGTAACACTGGAACTGGAAGCATCTCTCGTAATGTGACTTCTGCCAGGTGGTACTATTTAAAATGTATAAATATTTTATATATATTCTGCTTTCTTAAATATATTTACTTAGAAATATACTTACATTCCTTGTGGAATTTATCCAATTCGATGTAAAGACCACGTTGGTCGTTAAGAGTCATTCGGTTTCCGAGTTCATCGTATTTTGGTGCTAAAAAGATACGAACTGTTGCGTGCTTAACGCTACCTGTCTTGTTTTGGACGTCCATTGAATAGGTGAATGGTTCGTGGTCCAAGTGCTCAAATTTTACCTACATTATATATATTCATGATTTTCAAAATTCATTGCGAATTCACTTTTAAGCCGTAATCTTATTTAATAACTAACCTTTACGGATCCTTTAGTTTTAATTCCGTGAGAGAGCTGCAACTCGTCTTCTTTCATAGTGGTTGTGATTACATCGGGTACTTTAGCGTTAATGGTAACATGTTCTAGAATAACACCAGGGAAATCAAGCTAAAACGATGTAAATAAAATTAATGTTTGTATAAGCCTATTCTCTATTAAGTATTAAAAATTATATTATAAAAGTAAATTACATCATGATCATCATACGATGGCAAATGTGCTTTGTATTCCTGGAACATGTTATCCATAAATCTGTGGAAACGGTAGAAAATTGGATCACGGAGTGAAGTTGAAGTATCGCTCATCACACCTGGATTTTCCTGGGAATTACATTATTGTCGTGTTATTTATTTTTAATCTAAGACATGAATTTGTATTTTATTGAAACTTACTCTAAATCGGCCATCGGGATCGTGTACGCGGGCGAGAATAACGTGTCCCCAGTTATGCAGAGTACCATAATAACCTTTGTTTTTAGATTCGGCACTTGATTCTAAGAGAGAACCTAATATGTCAATACCGTGTTCTTCGTCGAGTGGAATTTCATGACCGTGATCATCAATAACGTGACCAACGTGGATAGCATCGAGAACTCGTTCTCTCCAGCGGACCATTTCTTGAACATTAACGTCGGTTACGTCATGCATGGAAAGACCAGCTGGACGACTGGCATAGTTCAATCCACTGATCAATGATGTTAAATGAGGTGAATAACCTTCCAAAGTTTCGTCAAAGTTCTGGAATGGTATCATACGTCTAAGACCAGTAGACAATCGGTCACAATCGTATCTGCAACAGAATCGTAATTATGAATATTAAAGCAATAAGATGAACTAACTGAAATTTAAAATGTCTAATATGTTCAGCATATCTACTGTACCTGGCGCACATCTGTTGATGCATGTAATAGAAAAGTTCACCCTTTCTATCTTTGACTTTACCCATAACTTCTGGTTTCCAATTAGCTGGATAAACCAAGTGCCAGTGCCAATGATGGGCATTGACTTCGATATCTTCTCTGAAGTATGCGAGATGGTATTCTGGATCAAGAATATTACCCGTTTCTTGGATTTTTACGACTATGTCTTCCTAAGGAAACAGATGAAAAATATTACGTTTTTAACCTATAAATGCAAAATATCAATATTTCAATTTGGCTTACATCTCCTGTTCTTTTGCGATCGGCCTTCAGTGCTTGGTTGATGGTCTCAGCTGGTACGAATCTATCGGGGAAGATCTCTTGAATGGGTGGAACTGTTACACCTTTGCAGTCCTCTCTGTGCAGAACAGCCACAGAGACAGCGAAGACGAAGAGACCTTCGTTCACAACGTTACGGGCTTGTTCACAGAGGTGGATGAAATCGTCAAAGTCTTTAGCTTCTACAATAACAATTTTGAAAATGTAATAAATTTCAAGTTTAAAATATTTCAGAAGATATAAATAATTACTTACGGAAAAGAACTGTATAAAGACTTTCAGCCTCGGCTAAGTGATCGGTATGAAAGCAAGAGAAAAGTTTTCCTCGTTCGAGGTGTCCGACATCTTTCAGTCTATCATCTCTAGCATCTAATGGTAGCTGCTCTGTTGTAAGAGACGTAAGATGCTCGAACAGAGGCAAAATACGCTTCTGCTTGTCTTGCACTCCCATGACTTTGCCTGATGGTCCCGTAAGCGAAGTGAACGCAACTACCCAGCTACTGCGGCCTGACGCCCCCCAAACAACATCTCACGCTTTTATACTATGAGATATAAATATTTCCTGGAATTATTTTGATAATATTCTTAATTTATCTTAGTCTTCCGCGAATGTATAATTTAATAAAGGATCGCACAATACAGGAAGAGGTAGGGCATTTGCTATTCTCGACAATGTTCTATTCTTATTTTGATTTGTATTCCGAAATTAAAGTGAACTGGAGAAGCTTCTGTTATGTATTGTAAAATATGCTTTGAAGATAGAGGTACGGAATGTTAAATTGGATCAATATTTACAGTACAGGTGTTTCTGCTAGGAATGAATAGGTGCAAACATAGATTACCTATGGCAAATAATTTTAGTGTGGCAATTTTCCAGTCCTTGTTGATCGGATCTTTAATTATTTTTCGGATAGTTTTAGATTTTATTGATTATGAGTGCGAATGTTAACTCATTCAGTATAATTTTAATAGTGTTATAAACTGCCTCTTAATTATTTTCGTAATTAAGAATTTACTAATTAATAAATTTAACGCAAATAAATATTATATTCGTATATTTTCTACATCGTTTCTATATGATGACTATTATTTACAGAATTTAATGATAATTTCTTTCTTTTTTTAAGTCTTTACCACACAACTTCTTTCTTTTAAAAAAATATCTTCATTATATTATAATTTAAAACACTTATTTTAAAAAGTATTCGCTTTAATCACTTCACTGATTAGAAGAATTAATTACTTTTTATATTATAATTTTTCTGTGGGATTAAAACATTACACGAGATGTTTTGTACATCTCGTGTAATGCATCCCACCAAAAATTACTATCTGCCTCAAGCAATCCCTGTTATAAGTCTAGTCTTTATGTTCAAACACAATTTGCTATCAGATCGATGTAGGTAAAATTTGGATTCATCCAAAAACATAATAGAATCTCAAATATCAACACTCCATTCAACATTCTGTTTAGCCCAGATAAGCCAGTTGTCCATGCATTTTACTCATCAGTAATGTCTTATTTGAACAGTAGACTTTAAATCCATGTTACCCAGTTCTTATACTAATTGTGCCTATCTGTTCTTTTCATTTTATTTTCAGTTCGGAACTGGCAGTATGTTCTCGTAGGCAGAGATGATTAATTATCCTATGGAGAACTAAATAAAAGTCACATAGTTATTTCGAAAATTTTAGCTCAGTTATCATAAACAATAATCGAATTTCCGATCTAAAAATAACTCTTATTAAAAAATAAATTATAGTTTTCATATTATCGAGTCTATTATAAGTTATGTTGATGGTTCTTAACGTTTTCTGTTGTTAGCAAATTTAGGATTTAAAGATTATCTCACGTTCTCACGTGTATTTTAGCTTAACTTTACATACACCTTAAGCGAGTAAGATAGAAAACATTTAGATCTATGTTAGGGATTTATATAAGAAAAATTATATAATTTTACATTAAGTTNGAATGGTTCTTCAGAACTGCTTAGTCTGTTGGACTAGACCAGGCATGGCCAACATACGGCCCGTCTAATGAATTTATGTGGCCCGAGATCAATCTTTCAATATTACGTATTGAAGTCCGAATAGCTCAATGAAAACTTTTGACGCAAGTCAACAACTCACTGTGCATTTAGAGTTAACCCTCTATTACAAATCTCATAAGTACAGTGTAGAATGTTGATAAAGCATGATAAATGCATCTGTAATCTCTATCTACAATATAGTCTCTACGAGGTGACACCACAATGAGATCTCGCACCACCTCAAAATCTTCCTAGGGCAGCCTCTGGTTCGGCCTGTGGAAAAAAGTTTTCTTTCCAATTCGGCCCGGGGCAAAAACTGTTGGCCACCCCTGGACTAGACAGTTCCATGGAACCATTATGTTCTGTTGGAATTGCTGTTGGACTCAACAGTTGGACTCTGTTCCTCATTGGTTTTATATATATAGATAATAAAATGTTTCTGTCTCTTTCTCTCTCTGTTCTTAGCTTTTTTGTTGATCTTCTCCAAATTTTTCGTTTATTCTATGGGACTCTGAGAGAAATATAGACTACCATTAAACCTGAACATCCTACCCCTTCCCTGATTTCATCCTTCTTTATTAACTCTTAAACCCTTTGCTCAATCTGCATCAAATTTTTTTCACTTATTCTCTGGGACTCTGAGGAAAACAGACTATCATGAAATCTGAATGTACCACTTTTCTGATTTGATCTCCTTGACACTTCATGATAAACATAACAATGGCAGGCTAAAATAACCAAACTTGAAATATGGTTTTCATTTTAATGTTTAATGATTTTACTAACTTTAATTAAAATAAATGATAAAAAATATGTATACATTTCAGTTCTTGAATAAAATTTCGATGTTTAAACTATAAATTTTTAAAATTATTGTTAAAAATTTTAGTAATATGATTCCTCTAAGTGTTTAGAACCATGAAGTCTGTATCACGTAACTCGCTAATGGCTGAATACTCTATAGTACTAATACTTTCAAGAAACGTGTTCTATGGAGAAAAAATAAACTTTTATCCTCTAAGGAACAAGCCACAGTCTTTATCTATCAATAAACAAATCTTTTTCTATTTTTATTTCTTTGTTAAATTATTCAGTTTGGTATGAATATTTTTACGAATTTATACTTATTTTACACGTATATTTGAATTATATTCATAGTTCATTGCATTATTTTTTAGTTAAGAATCTAGAAATAAGTAAGTTTTATGATAAAATATTAAAATTATGGTTTCAGGAAAATAATAATAAAGATTTTTTTCTTTTTTGTATATTTCTTGTTAGGTTACGAAGGGAGACACCAGCAAATTTATTTGACCAAATAACGCATTCTAGAGAAAAATGGGATAATTCTTCTCGAAAGCTGTTGATGTTATAACATAAATCTTGCTTTATATGCAAATAAAACATAATTCTAATGTAAAGCACTAAAAATAAACATTACAGCATGAAAGAGATTTATATATTTTACTTATAAAATGTCCTTATTTATTTGTTTATAGCGCTTATACAAGAAAAATAAAATCATTGATTATTTTTGAATGATATAAATTTATATGTAATAAATTTAGTTTTCTATATATAATATATTTAAAACTAAGCAAAAGTCACTTTAATTTGTCTTGTATGAAAGAAGAATAGCATCATATTTACAAGAGAAACAAGAAAATTGGCAAAATTTCCAGAGAGAAATAGCAGAGTGACTGCTTATTGATTGATGGAGATAGAGTCGACACAATCATTTTGTCGTTTAATGCCTTAATTGAATAATTGCTTAGTAATTTTAGGATAGAAACACGTTAGAATGATTAGTTTGAACCACAGAAAGATATCTAACGACATTCTTCAGAGAATTTTTTAAAAAAATAAGAAAAAAGAGTTTCATCTATTTAATTTTTTATCTTTCTTGTTTTTGAATTATGTAAGATCTGTTTTGTGTTAAACTGGATTATTTTCAATGTTATCAATTCGAACTGGCTAAATTAATATTCAAAAATAGTTTTTTTTCTTCCTTTTTAATATAGTTTTGATTTCGTTTCATCTTATTAGGTTTAGAATACTTCAGAATAATAATAAAAAATATATATATATTAAATAAAATTTGAATATATAACAGATCAACTAATAAAAACTTCAGTATTATATTCTTCTAAATATTCCTTCTGTCAAATTCTATATCTCAAGAGCTGTTTATTGCACAAAATACACTTTAAATGTTGCTTTAATCTTTAGAAAATTGCGGTAAATTATTATTATTATTTTCTACTTTTAAAATCAGAATAGTAATATAAAGCTCAAGTTTAGGCTTCTGTCTTTAGTGATTTATGTTTACTTATATATACAGTATTTATTGGCAATTAAAATAACTTATCTGTCAATAGGTATGCACTCAACCTACAAATAAACCACATTGATGCAAAATACTAGGAATATATTATGTTTTAAATAATATAAATATTCGAGAGAAATTTAAAAAGTTTAAGAATATAATTAATTATTAAAGTGCCACCGTTTTCACGTCGCCAAGTAACAATGTTTAAGAATTATTGAATGAAGAAAAATATTTCTAGGATTTCTAAACATGTTTTTCTGTGTTTTTTTTATCTTCTTCTAAAAGAAAATTACATCTGATATTGAAAATGCAAATAATTTATAAAGAAAGATAACATTGTTAAAAATGTGGAAAGAATATCATGAGAAAATTCTGTTCCATACATTAACATAAAGATAATAAATAGATAAAATGTTTAAAGATCACTATTTTTTTATTTTTAAAATAGAATTTTAAAATATTAAGAATTAATTTGAGTAGAATCTGAAAAAAATTATTTTTTTTTTGGTGAAAAGTTGGAGCAGTTGCATTTCTGTTAATATCAGAGTTTAACCATCGAATTTGATTTCAACTTCGGTGAAGTGAATGTTGGGAGTGAGGAACTCTTGTAAGTTTCTTGCATCGATGGGTCGATCGAATGGGAATCCCATAGGTCTCTTATCGGGATAGAGAGCATCCTTAGCACCACAGTAGCTTACTGCATCTTTGCACAAACCGCCAAGACCGACCTATGAAGAGATAAATGATCAATTTTCACCGTCACGATAAAAATTTTAAGAGTAATTTATTTATTTGTTCGCTTACGAGATCTTCGCTGCCATCGGTTAACATAACGAAAAGATCGAAAACCATTCCTCTGTGGTTACCACGTGGGATGAGCATGTGTTCTGGCCATCCGCAGCTACAGAATTCAGTTGCATTTTCGCTGACTCCTTCTCCCTTCTTCAGCTGTTCAAATGTATGCAATTCGGAAACCGTGACGCTAGATTCGATTGCATTTCTAGAGATTGTATTCTTGCCGGGGGTTACTGAACAAACATATTTATTTATAGAGAACATATACAAACAAGACGAGAATTAAAACTACGATTTACTTACGGGGGACGAAGAATTTATCTAATTCGATACATAAACGACGTTGTTCGTTGATATCAAGTACATTGCCCAATTCATCGAATTTTGGACCTAAGAATATACGAACTGCAGCCTTTGTGGCTTTGCCAGTATTATTAACTTCGATTGTATAGGAGAATGGTTCGTGATCTAAATGATGGTATTTAACCTAAGGAATAAAGTTTTATTTAATTATTACATATTTAAATAATTTTATTAATTAAACTTAATTATGAATAAGGGCTCACCTTAACACTATGATTACTGGCGAATTGAATACCGTGAGATAATTCTAATTCATCGTCTTTCATGAAAGTATGGATGACATTCTTTGTCTTAGCATTTACTGTTACTCCAGTAACTTCGACACCTGGAAAATCAAGCTAAAAAACAAAAAAAATTCTAAATATAGTTTTATATTTCATTATTAATTAAAAAACTGGCTCAAATAATTTGTAGCGGGACTATCTTACTTGTTCCCTAGAATATGTTGGTAAAGTTGCTTTATAGTCTTGGAAAATATTGTCGACAAATCTATGCCAACGGTAGAAAATTGGATCACGAAGTGAAGTCGAAGTATCACTCATCACACCTGGATTTTCCTATAAAAGTTTTGTTGTAAATTTTATATTGAATAATTTTGAACCATTTTATTTTGAATTATTTCAAACTGTTGCATATTCTTACGTTAAATCTGCCATCAGGATCGTGGATTCTTGCCATTAATACGTGGCCCCAGTTGTGGAGACTGCCATAGAATTCGGGATTTCTGGATTCGGCACTAGATTCGATAATATCACCCAAAATGTCAGCACCGTGAGCTTCATCCAAAGCTATTTCTTGGTCTTCGGAAGTATGGATGTGTCCCAAATGGATAGCATCCAAAATTCTTTCTCTCCAACGTTCCATATCTTGTACATCGACATCTTTTAAATCTCTTAAACTGAAACCACGTGGACGGCTTCCGTATTGTAAGCCACTGATCAATGAAGTAAGATGTGGTGCGTAACCTTCTAATTTCTCATCAAAGTTGTGGAATGGGATCATACGATTCAAACCATTAGAGAGACGTTCGCAATCGTATCTAAAAGTATATAAATCTTAAAAAATTGTTTACAACTCTATTATTTTACGTCATTTAAATAAAAATACATACCTAGCACACATTTGTTGATGCATATAGTAGAAAAGTTCTCCTTTTCTGTCTTTGCTTTTTTTCATCACACCTTCTTTCCATGTTGCTGGATAGACAATGTGCCAGTGCCAATGGTGAGCATTAACACCGATGTCTTCACGGAAATAAGCTAATTTGTATTCAGGATCCAGGATATTACCAGTTTCCTCAGCTTCTACTACGACATCCTAAAAATTCATATCATTTAATGTTTTTCTGTCTATTTTTTTTCTTTGTTATAAATATTTTCGAACTACTTACACTGTTGGGATTATTGTTAGCTTCCTTGATGGCAAGATTTACAGTTTCAGCTGGTACGAACCTATCTGGGAAAACTTCTTGGATGGGTGGTACAGTCACACCCTTGCAGTCATCGCGGTGGAGAAGCGCCACAGATACAGCATACACAAAAAGACCTTCGTTTACGAAGGTATGTGCTTGCTTGGCGAGCAGAAAGAAGTCGTCAAAGTCCTTAGCATCTGATGCACCAAATTAAATTTCATTAAGGCCATCATATCATAAAAATCGATTTAGTTTGGAAATTTAGATACTTACGGTAAAGGATTTCGTACAGCTTGGTGGCCTCATCTAAGTGTTTAATATGGAAACAAGAAAATAATGATCCACGCTTCAATATTCCAATACCTGAAAGTCTGGGATCTCTATCTTCTGGAGCTAAACGTTGTTCTACTTGTGCTGCTGTCAAATGCTCGAAGAGAGACAGAATACGCTGTTGTTTCTCTTTGACGGACATTTTCGTCGACCTTTTCAGAGTGTGGACGTACTCTGCACCCAGATAACTGCTAGGGATGTGGTACACCCTCCGATAAAGCCCTTATATATATACCAGTGTTACCGAGGAGTGCCCTTCGTAGAATTATTTGTTTTCTATCCGTGACATTTTTAAAACTACACGCTCTAATTATAGATGGCTGCCAGGATGTTCACAGCATTAACAGAAATTATAAGCGCATATAAATTAATTTATGTTTCTGCATCTACAAGAAGTTTATGCCGAAATGTAAACTTTTAAAAGAAACAAATAAATAATTGTTATGAAAACTTAAAGTAATCTTCTATCGATCGACTTCCAAGGAATAAATTTATAATAAAGGTAAAAAGAAAATTAAAAACAGAATTAAACTAGTAAAAAGTATAATATTTTATTATATATAAAAGGTCGAAAAGTATTAAAAAAATCATACTTTTTGATAATTTATTATGTGATAACCGTATTAGTTATTCTTAGTTTATTGATAGCAAACAGGAAAGGCTAAATTAATAAGATCTATTGATATCTCGTTCTAAAAATAAAGATTTCAGAAGAATGAAATATACTATAATAACAGTTCTTCTTTATTAAATATATTGGTGACTAAGTTAAAGTTGTTTCTTCATTCGATCCATTTATTTCGAGTATTGAATTGGTTGTCTGCGAGATGGCAGACTGGAGTCTGTAATGAAAGAAATTACTGGTCTTGTCCTGATAGTGTCGATATTAATTTTGTTTACTGGCATCGCTTGGATGATTAATATTTTTACTTAAACCGTTATAAATTGGTTTAGACATATAGAAACGAAAATCTTTGATATTATTACTCTAAAGTTTTCCACGAATTTTTCCATAAAAGTTGAGGGTTTCTTTTAAAAAATTATATGTTAATAAATATCTTCGAAAATATAGAGAAAAAAATAATTTTAGTTCCAGAAAAAAATGCTTTGCTAATTAGTATTAGATAGATTTAGAAAATTTTATTTAATTTTTAAAAATTTATTGTAATGTTCTTATAATTAAAGAAATATAGACAATAATAGGATTAAAATTTCCAACAAATTTATAAAGCATTTCCAAAAGAATCTCGATTATATATTAGATTAATAGGGCTGTAGTCTACGTTTTAATCAACACATAAAAATTAGTTTATAATAAATTTAATTCGATTGTAAACGTTATGTAACTATATTAAACAAATCGTATATACACACTGTTGATAATTCCGTTTTATATGAATTCCATGTTGTACGAGTCACTTAGATTTTACAAATATATGTGCCGGGCTGTGAACGGCTCACGTATTTGTAAAATCTAAGTGACTTGTACAACATGGAATTCATATAAAACGGAATTATCAACAGTGTTATAGGGGGGTCGACTGTATTAGGAGACGAGTAATAAGAAAATTGCTTCGATTTCAGTATATTTTTATATTTATCCATAGAAAGTTATTCTGATAAGTGAAGATGTAGACTAAGCACTATATCTTCTTTATATTAAATCCACGTGCAATGCGAGAAGCGGCGATGGAACTTCGAATTGGGCAAATTCCCTATACACCAACAACAACATTGTCGGCAAGAAGGACCGAAGATAAAATCAGCAAGCGGCTTTCACAAAGATAGCTTATAGATTTGACTACTTTGAAATTCTCTACGGTTTTTTCCCCCCAGAATTTAATATCTTTCGAAGTATTTTTAAATCTGATGCGAGTGTTGCATTTCCTTTTCCTATTAAGGCGATTACGTTTTTTAAAAATCTTAGTATCATAGCGCCATCTGTTAGTATTTTTAATTAAAATTAACAACACTAAAAAAANGTTTTTTCCCCCCAGAATTTAATATCTTTCGAAGTATTTTTAAATCTGATGCGAGTGTTGCATTTCCTTTTCCTATTAAGGCGATTACGTTTTTTAAAAATCTTAGTATCATAGCGCCATCTGTTAGTATTTTTAATTAAAATTAACAACACTAAAAAAAAATAATAAAAATAAAATAAAATATATTTACGTACTGTACACACACACACACATATATATATATATTTAAAGATTAATAAGGAAAAATATAATTAATTTCCTTGCAAATTAATAATATCCAGTTTGATGTAATAACGTTACCACATGATTTACAACGGTGTAATTGTCATTAATATCGATTGTCACGGTTTTGGAATTTACTAATTAATCAGATTATAGCTTAGCTGCGATACAGACTCATTTAAAAAAAATATTTACGGGAATTTAAGCGTTATAAGCCCCGTGTTTAATTAAAAAATTATGAATTTTAAGAGTTTCTTTTAACATAACGTTTCTAACGTGAATATCGAATCAATGTTTAAAGAAGATATAAATATTTAAACGTGGAAAATTATTGCTTTCATCGTGTCGAAATTACTCGAATGCGGTTGAGGTAAAGGTACAACATCTCATAAATAAACCTAAAACGAATGAATCTATATAAACAAATAATATTTCTTTCTAATAATAAATTATAACGTTAATTTTTAATTCTTATCGCTAATATTCGAGTATAAAACGGATCTATTTTAACAAGAAAATTAAATTGCTTTATGTAGTTAATTCGTGTTTTAATTAAGAGACAATAGAGCATAACAATCAAAGACAGTAAATTAATTAATGGTAAATAATGTTTGCCTTACTCAGTTAATAATTTGACTGAAGTTAAAGTTTTAAGCATTATTAACCGTCGCGTGATTAATTAAACGAATACTCTTGAATAATATAAAGTTATAACTCATTAAAAATTCAACTATGATAATTTCAATTGGATATTAGTAAGTAGAATGTTAACGATTCTAGTTTCATAAAGTCGAATGATAAGAATGAATCGACTCCGATTTATTTCGACATTTTTCTGTATAAATTACGAAGAAACTGGGAATTTTATAAAAATATTATCACTCTAAAACACTCCGAGAAACGATTATTAAGAAAAATAAATTTAAATCGTATAGGTTGATTCCATTTATTTTTGATTTACTAGCATAAATGGCCCTGTAGAGAATAATCCTAACGCTGCTACAAAATTGTCGAGCCATCTTTATGATAGATCAATGCATCATGGAAGAGCAAAGCAATAGAAATGATAGATGAAACCTACTTAGAAACAGATATGTGGAAAATTATACAAATAAGAATATTTCGAAATTTGTATTATTATAATAATTTATTGCGAAATTTAAATTATTTTAATTTTTAAAAACATTAAAAATGTTGTTATGAGTTATAGTTCCATCGTGGATAATGACTTCGCATTCTGTAAAGTTTTGAAATATTAATAACTTGAAAAGTATTTTTGCTATTTTTTGAAATGGTTTCATAGTTTATATAAAGTTAGAAAACAAATAAGATTATTTAATGATGAAACTTTATGAAATCTTAAACCAATTTAATATCTTCTTCACAGTCAAAAATATCATAATAATCAGAACATCTGTAGTTTAATAATGATCGAATGGATGAATTTATAATGTAAAACTGTTTACTATGTCTCTACCATCTACAGTTACATTGACTTTACAAAAATATAATTACGGGATGCAATTTTGAGACGGAATGCAATATTTTATAATGTAAAATAGCCATTTTTTTTTTAAAAATAAAAAATGAAAATAATTGAAGGCCATTAGTTATTTTTAAGATAATAAATAAGATAAAAGGGTAATTTTTTTCCTCTAATTTTCACCACGTAAAAAGTTTATACTCGTATATTTAAATGAATCAATCACTTTTCAGAATTACTAGGTTTATGGATCGTTGAAATTATTATTATTATTATTCGTGGAATCTCCCAAAAAATCAGCCAACTAGAAAATTTATATGAATTAAATATAAATGATTTAAAAATTAAAAGGTCACTTAACTCTATAAATCGATCGTGTATGTATCTTAAAAAACAGAAGGAAAAAATTTGTACTTTGTATAAATATTTAAAAACTTCTATCAAAATTATGCTTTTAAAATAAAATTATATTAAAAAAATTGAAATAAATTTAAGAAAAAAACTTGTTTACTAATTATAGAAAGCTATTTTTAATGTATTAATATTACATAATCGGCCGATCGATATTTGAAAATAGGAAGCTGCTTCTATTTCCATAAATTTATTATTTGACTATTTATAATGCATTAAGCATGCATAAAAATGTCTTATTAAGTTATCTTTAAGGCATTATGACATATATTAGTAGAAAACAGGAAAAAATTAAAGGAGTTAAAGGGTGTATCCTGGTTTCTATAATCTCCAGAGGGTTTTAAGTCGAAACCAATTAAAGGCGGATGCTTGTTCAGGAAATTACCTTCGAATGGACAGGTGATTTATTATTTTTTTTTCAGAATTTCGTAATGTTGTCCATATTTCTCTGTTTCCGATGCTACTTCCTATTGTTTTTACTGAATTACTTTTATGTTATCGATTCCTCTGCTACCAGATAAATTATAAATTGAGCATTTAAATCGAAATATATATATAAAAATTATATTTTGAGTAATAATATATCTTAAAAATTATAAATTCTATCCGATTATTCTATTTTTAACTTAATTCGTTTATAGTGTGATCTTAATTAACCAATGATTGACATGACTTAATTTAAAATTTTCTAAATGGCTTTATCATAAGTGTCGAAACTTCGAAAATCGATCGTCGACGTGATAATTTATCTGAAATAAGTTATTAAATATATATAAAAATGTTTTTATAATATATAAAAGCTATCAATTATTTTAAAATTAACTTAAATGTGGATTTAATTGATAACTTATGCTTCATGTAAGTAGAGTTTTAGAGTAGAGTGAGTAATTTTAATTAAAATAAATGATAAAAAATATGTATACATTTCAGTTCTTGAATAAAATTTCGATGTTTAAACTATAAATTTTTAAAATTATTGTTAAAAATTTTAGTAATATGATTCCTCTAAGTGTTTAGAACCATGAAGTCTGTATCACGTAACTCGCTAATGGCTGAATACTCTATAGTACTAATACTTTCAAGAAACGTGTTCTATGGAGAAAAAATAAACTTTTATC